AATGGGAATGATCGCAAGAAGTGGAATAACAACTACTACTACAGCAGAGAAGAGGGTAATGTTTACAGTGAACTCTCACAGTACTGTTGAGGCGGCGAAATGGCACTACGGCTGCTCGAGTCTGCGTGAAATGAGACTTGATCACAACATGGCTGTTGGCGTGAGTTCACACTGGGATGGGTACATTGCAAAGGATGAATTGATGAGTCCATACACTACTGGGGAACCCTCTGGTATGTTTTACACCATACTGACACTCTCTCTGTTTGAGGATATGAAATTCTACCGGGCCAACTACAGCATGGCAGAGACAATGCGTTGGGGCAATCACTCTGGATGTGGTTTTCTCATTAGTGACTGTGTAGAGAAAGGTGAGGGCAAACACTCGGATGTGTTCTGTGATAGTAGTGGTGCTACCAGAACAACAACTCTGCAGTGCACATCAGACCGCTTTGCACTTGGGCACTGCACTCGTAGTCTCTCCTCGCAGCCTATTTCTGTTTTCTCTGCAGACCACCGTGAAGAGAAGAGGGAGTGTGCTGTTGTGAAAGCCACTGCGGCAACTGTGTGTGAGAACGGCAGTGAAGCCCACATGCCTGGCAGTCGTATCGGTAATACATCACGTTGTCTGAAAGGAGATGCACTGCGGCTGCGTGATGTGTCTACTATTGATATTCATTCAATCATTGGAGATATCTGTGCAAATGTGAAGTGTGAGGGTGGGAAAGTGAGTGTACAGTATAAAGGGGATGATCATTGGTATGAATGTAAGGAGGGCAGCAGTATTTTACCCTCTGTTACTTCAGCCTTTAGTAGTGGCCGCATTGTGTGTCCTCCATACAGTGAGGTCTGCATGGATCTACCAATAGAACCACCACCAACAGAGGCAGTAGTAGTGGAGGAGGTATACAATGTTACTGCATCCATCAATTTAATTAATAGTTGAGAGAAGTAAAGGATTTATAGAGAATGTTTGCGATGGTGGGTAATGTTGTTGTGGACACCCTTAACAGATAACTGAATCTATAATACTCTAATTCATTATTGTGTGTTTGTTTGTTTTATACATCTGTTTGCTTTCTTTTTTCTTAATGTTTGCGAACCAACACCCCATAGTGGTGACTGAAGTAGTTGGAGATTATAGTACTCATTCTCCATGTACAATCCTATACTTTGTTTTTTGAGTAGTCATTATTGTTTTTGTGGTTCATTTGTGATGTATTTTCACTGTATGATGTACTGAAGAGGATAAATTGATAATAATTGATTGAACGATGGATATCATCCTTTTTTAAATTAATTATTTATTCTCTTTTTATTTACATATTATTACTCTCCGTACGCAGTGTGAATACAACTAATCGGTTTTACTTTTTTTTATTTCTCTTTTCTTCACTATCCGCTATGTAAAATTTACGTGTACTTTTTAATAATGATTTCTATTCCACATATGTACTCTCCTGTTGTTTTTTCTTCTCTTCTTTCCCTCCTGTCAATTGAAGACCCATATACACTGATAATTATGATGCCAAGGATGGCGTACATGTATACTGTACATATACTCTAACTGTGATATGATTGTTGGTGAAGGGCAGGAATAGTGAAAAGAGGGAAACACTGATACTGCAACCCTTTACATGGCTACGTAATGGATAGAAGAAAAGGAAAACAAAAAGGAAGAAATGAAAGTCAATGGTGCTACCATTACTTTGTTACGACTAAGCTCTTAACGGGCAGGACTCTGTGTGTGTATATGAGTTATGCCCCAAGTCAGTAGTAATGTAGTTAGTTAGTGAAGCCACTTGATTTCCATCACTGTATGGTACCAACTGCAGTAGTGCTGCCCCACTAACAAACCACAAAACCAGAGTTCCACACCATGCAGTGAAAAGAAGATAATGATGTGTTTATAAGTGACACTAATAGTTATCCTTTTCAATATTGTTCTACTATCTTTATCTAAACTTTCAAAAGAAAATATCTTTCTTTTAGTCTGTAAGCTGCTCACACGATGAAACTTAACGTAACTATTTGGATTTTATTCTTTGCTACACTACACGATGTAGTGTTAGATCCAGTTAAAAAAACAAAGAGAAAATAATGATCAAATTTGTTCTTTATTAATACTTATCAGTGGATACATGATTTGGATTTTAATAGTAAACCTACTTGTTTACGTTTGCCAATCTAGCAACTAATATTATTAATAATAAATTCTTGCTCTCTGTTTCTTCTTTTTAATAACATAACGCATCATAAATCAACAACACAGCTACACAATCACTATGCGCACAACTCTTCTATTGTTAACTTTGCTACTGATACTCTCCTGCATCTGTACATGTGCAGCAGCAGAGAGGATGCCACTGCCAGTGCCACGTGTGGGTGGATACGCTACAGAGGCAACAGGACAAGGGAAGCCTGAAGAACAGAAACACCTTTCAAAACAAGATCAAAAACCCGTAAGTTGGAATAATGGTGAATTCACTACTACCACACCATCCCTCAGTATGAGTGAGTCCATGAGTGCCTCTGCCACTCTTCCTCTCTCTGACACCACTGCTGTTGCCCCATCAACACCTGGCCAACAACAGACTACAGGAGCAGCAGGAGAGGGACAGGCCGCCCCTACTGAGGAGTCGACTACGACGAGCACCGCAGCACCGAAGAAGAAGAAGAAGGACGGCGGCCGCGGCCCTGAGTGGCTGCACGGCCCGCTGGTGCTGCTCGCCGCCCTCACCGCCGCAGTGCTGTGCTGAGTCCCGCCCCCTCTGCCAGTGCGGCACTGTAATGATATTCCCCTCTTTTTGCTGGCGAC